ATGAAAGAAATGGGCTTCATTCTCCTGACACCGAAAGAGCTCCCAATTTCTCAGCGTTGGGAGGACGAATACGGAGAGGTTACCAAAATCTCAGGGCCAATGGAAGCTGCCTGGATTTCAAAGAACTAAGGTGACGATCTGTACCTACAATGCACGTACACTTGCATTCGAGCCTTCGATAGAAAATTCCTCATGAAAGCAAGAAGGATGAAGTAGACGTCATTGGCCTGACCGAGACGAGAAGACGCCAGCCTTTCACGCCGACTATGACACCGGAGAAGAACTAATCCTCGGAACATGCGACAGTAGAGGAGTCGGCGGTGTCGGCGTTCTCGTCAGCACGAGTTTGTGCATGAACATCGGTTCATTCGAGCAACTTACAACACGAATAGAACGTTTACGATTAAAAAGACGTGGATCAATTCCGGCTTTGACAAGCTTCATCGTCACTCGTGCACGCGACAAGGAAAAATGGAATATTTACTGGCGCCCGCTCGAGTCACTCGACGATCAACGGGACTATAGGTGATACAGGTGACAGGCGTATTCCGAGGAACACCAGTTTAGTTTCAAACTCAGGTGACAGGCGGTGGTGGTCGTATTCACGTCTACCGTGCAGATCCCAGCACTTCTCACAATCGATTCGTTTCCTCGCATCGATTTGTCAACGAAGATCTTCCAACTTTTACGTGTGGCTTCGATTGCTGCTTGAAGATTTCCTTTTCATCTTGAATGCCGTAGAGTGCTGGTCGAGCAATTTTCCCTGCAGTCCTGAGATAGCCGGACTAGAGCGTTCCCAATTGGATTGTAGAGAGTGAACTTTTCCCAGACAAGTCCGCTACCAATTTCCCGAGGCCGGAGGGATGAGAGGCTTGGTGGGCCTGGTGTGGAACCGAGGCAACTACATGCTCGTGATGATCGGCATCATTGTAACTGTGCTATCCGCTTTCTAATGAGACATAACAGTCTCCTAAATCAATTGCATGTCATCGTGATTCGTGACTTGTTGAGTTTTTTGCGATTTTGGTTGCTACGGTGGTACGTTGCACTTGCATCGAAGTAAAAATATGTCTGAAGTAAGTATAAATGTCAATAACTCGACAGATGATTCATTTTCTTGCAAGTACAAATGTATGAAACTCTACATCACTGTGAAATCATACTACTATACCTGATTGACTTTTTTTTACTGATAACAGATGTTCGTCTATTGATTTCGCATTTGGGCATACTATCGCACGTATGAAGTCGGTTATCAGAAAGCTTTTGGTTAACTCAATTCGTAACCTAAAAAACTGGTTGGCCTAGCATACCCTGCTGATCTATGGGAAAACGTGTCATGTAGTTCATCAACGACAGTGCATCAACCTCCTGCACAGTGATGTGGTTCTCCGAGACATCAGCAACCGACTCTGTTCTTTTGTTCACAAGCCAGTGTCTAGTCTGCAGCAACTCCAGTGTGTTTAACGAACGCGACTTCGATCACTCTCCGTTCGTGGAGGACTAGTGATCTTGCGGTGCTCTCATCCGATCGAAAAGTTTCCGCTCATCAGCGAAGCTCCCTTACGATGGCGTCCTTATCATGCCTTGGGATAATTGACTGGTTTCGATTTAGTTTTATGTCAACAGTCCTTTCACCGTTAGCTGACATTACGTATGATTTCTTTTTGTTGAATTCGTGTAAATCTCAATAAGCGCTCCATCTTTATTAGATTTTCTGGTTTAGGCTTAGGCTTAATGAGTCCTTTCTTTCGTTCATCACTAATTTTCAATGTTTCAGTGTTTAATCATTTCTAAATGTTTAACTTTTTATTTACTGTCTACTACTTTTTCATGGCAGAGTACTATGTGATATGCAATTACAATGATGATGTGATATTTACAAAACTCGGAACACCAGTTTAGTTTCAAACTCCGATTACCTTTCCGGAAGCTCACGTGTTGGCCAGTGCACCACCAACACCCTTGCTTTGCTTTCCTCTTAGCCAGTTTTCTAGCATAACGGTGCCATCAGCAATTACCCGTCAACGGGAATGAACAGGCGAGCGAAAATCGGCATTGAACGCAGTTAACACCTGAGGCTACAGTCAAAATCACAATGTTAGAGTAACAAACTGGCTGAGAGGAAGACAAAGCGAGAGCTTCGAAGGTACAGTGCATAACACGCGAACCCCTGAAAAGGGTAATCGCAGGTTCGAATCTGGCCTGGAGTTCCAAGTTTTAGATTTTTTTCACTTCTTCTGGTTATTACTGCGAAAATTTATTTTTCAAGTTTGTTCTTTATTACAAGTTCTTTCGAGAAGCTACTGAAAGACTTTGTGGCTTGCTTTTGATTTAATCATCTATGAAACAACAGTATCTATAAATATTATGAGAAGTTAAGCATTTGTCTGCTCTTTGGAGATTATTGATCCATTGTTGCAAGCAAACGGGAGTCAACAAAATCTCAATTTGTTTTTTGTGGCTTGCCAGACCAGAGAGTTATCGAATAAGTCCTTCTCGCTCAAAGAACAAAGAAAAGAACTAATCACTTGTCCGACTCACTTTATCCCAGAAAGTTTTGTGTTCATGATTGCATCTCTGTTATTAACCATGGGCATAGGTCGGAACCTTGGATTGCGCCTCTCACTTCGTGATACAGAATGAGTATTCTGACATTTATGTTAAAAGCTGAAAATATAGAGCTCTCGGCATTGATCAATCCCTGAGGGATGCCCCATGCATTAGATTTCATCAAGCATCGTTGGAGGGCATATTTGGCCTATACACTGACTCGCGGCGGCCTACCGATGTATCGAGCCAGTGCTGTTGTCCACCCAGACAAGCCTGGTACCAATTTCCCGACCTCAGAGGGATGGAAGGCCTGTGAACCTGAGACAAACGAATCACTCCCGTGTGCACTACAGGGCGCTGACGACCGCTGCGCCACTCTCGCCCTACGTTTACGTTAAGGCAAGAAAAATCGAGAAATCGAAAAGGTAGGTAAGAAGCTAGTCGTTCTTTGTGCTCCTCTTTACGTCCGCGGTGTTCTTTTAGACTCATTAAATCGATCGATTCTTCCTGTTCAGCTCCGGAGCTAAGTAACTTATCACGTGAGCTCCTCGATACAGGTACATGTAGTTGTAACACGTATATTAAGATTCCACTAATCGTGAATGGAGCATCAAAATCAAGTCCGTTTCTCGTTAACATCGTTCTCGTCTGATCAGATCAAAAACACTCTTTACTAAAGGACTTTCGCAATTGGCCAGCATCCATTCCACCTTAATATTATAAGAACAATATCGTTTGCTATGATGATAATGGTGATGATGATGACGATAATGACGATGATGGATTACTAGCCATAATCTTTCAAACCCATGTCATACCGTTCCATTTTTTTGCACAACTCTCCAGAGTGGGTGCGGAAAATTTTGGCGGGATGGTATCGCTTTGTGAAACTCCTCGGTTTACGTCTTTAATATATCCTGTTCACCTCCCGAAATGAAGAACGTGGTGAAAAGTCTGAGTGATTATGTTCTGCTAAGGACACGATGGTCCGACCCCACATAGCACTCTGGGACAGCAGCAATACCGACTAAATGATGCTTTCAATTCGCTATCATATATAATATTTCGTCATGGAGCTGTTCAATGAGAGATTGAATGATGAGATAAAGTTTTCTGCAGTTATTATGTGTAGTCCTAGTTAGCATAACAAACCGAGCGAAGCTCTCACCATATTTGTTGCAGTCGAATCAGTGAGTCTCCGTATGAAGTCTCTCAGACGTTATCGTGGATTCATTTTCAGCATTTAAACCTGGAATAGAACAATTTTGTGGAAAATGTGACTTTCTGTCTACTTCCAGTTTCACAGAATGTTCGTGAGATGGTCGAGCTTTGTTCTTCTCTGGAGGATTTTAACGGGCAATGAGTCCTGATCCGGACTAATACCAGCCGTCGTTGCCAATCCTTTTGGTTGGTCTCCATCATCAGTCAGCGGAATCCTACGATATTAAAATTTGTATATTCAAGCCCTGATCGCCCCTACAAATTTTACAGTTTTCGCTCATGGAGTAGTCATGAGGTTTTAGTTGCCTCACTATATTCGCCCTACTAAACGTTGCATCAGGAATTTTATAGTACCAAGGAAAGAGAGGCTTCATTTCTACAACTTTTTACTATAAACATCTAGCCTGCCAGGTTTGGCCGTTGAGGTAGGTAGTACACAAAAATAGCTTGCCGCATTCGTCGTGGAGCTGAGCAAACTCATGTGTAGTTTGCCGAGCTTCCCAGCAGTAAACATGAAGCACTTTCTGGTCACCGGATTCTAGCCTGTGGCGAAATGGACACGCAGGGGAAGCAGCATATATGGAAGTCTACGAAAACATGTATCTATGTGGACACAGAAGATGTGCGTCAATTCGTCACAAAGGGAACGGAATTCCACGCTAAGAATCCACTTAGGCTTCACCGTAGCCGAGGGTGCTTTCAGTTAGTGTTTGGCCAAATATTTATTACCTAATGACGGTCACCAGGCTTCGCCATTAATCAGCTGGGAATCACTCTGTGAGGAATATCATTGAAATGCTACTGTATAGTGTAAAACCACTGACCTGTGCTCACCACATCGACCTTGGCCATCTTCCAAAAACCTTTGCTCGGATAACCGAGATCTCCTCAGACGATCCCGCGTTGTCAATTTGATGCGGCAGACTATCATCTTCATCTTAGCAAACACATGCCCTTATGCAATGCTCAAAAATTGACTCTAAGAAGCGTCTACTTTTAGAAAGCTTCCCTAAGCTCTTATATGGGTTTTCATTACGTTTTAGTTACCTTAAGCCAGAAGCCTTCCTAAACCTGAACATATTCCTCAAAAATTCTGATTAGCTATCCAAATTTGCTCGTTCCCAAAATTTCAGTGTGTCAACTCTTTAGTTCTAATCAATTGTTAGGTGTTCGCAACGTTTTGGGGTTTATTTGTACAGATACCCTAATGTGTCATAATTTTAGTGATGATACACTACCGCCGTCACAAGCGTGATCAGCCAGAGGAGAACTACGTTGCTCTAGCCCCATCATATGAGCTCATTCTTTCACACGGTAGATTAGATCCATTTTATTTTTTATGCTCTACATGACCCAACATAGCACATTATACGAATCCCAACGCTGTTTTCATTCAATCCGGTTTCCTTCATCGTTCATCCATGAAGCATTTGCTTCTAACTTTGGTAGCTGTTTAGTGATTTTTTTCTTTCTTTTTTCGTTTCACTGCCATGGGGGTGAAAAAGCTTATCTGGTGTCGATCCGGTGTTCAACGAGTGACCACCCATTTGTTGCTACAGTATGGGTTGTGATAAATCTATGAGGAATAAGAGTAGCAAAGAAAGCAAATAATCGAGTGAAACTGCATGAAATTAAAGCATATTTGCAAGTACAACGAGCAAAAAAACATTACGTAGAGAGAGCATGTTGAATCTATTGTGGAAAGCTTTCTACATTACTGACGCTTTTCTAATCGTACTATCACTCTGTTACTTAGTATTAATTTCCAGCAAAGTAGAATAACAATATACCGCGAGCATAAGCAAATCCGCCTAATGTGTTTTGTTTAAGACCAGCCATCGCAAATTGACACTACGCTGGCGGTTACTGTCGAAGAGGGTCAAGCGCTTCATCTGATGTGTACTGCTGGTGAAGGTATCGACGAACAGACACTCAAATTCGAGAAAGGCTTTGAAGAAGTGAAAGGACAACGGAGTAGGAGGAGGTCCGTGCACGCACTTTGCAGTTCTTCTACAGATTTTTCAACTTCTCATCTCGATACGGGTCCTGACATTAGAAAATGATAGAAAACGCCATAAATCTTCGTTCGAGAATTAAATATTTAAAATGACAGACACATTCAAAACCATGTGACTCACATACGACTCACACGTTTGAAATACTTGGGACAGGAATGATCCTCAACAAATTATGATGTGAAAAAATAAAGTAAAAGTGAGTTCCAGTGTCAGAAAACACATCTCCAGCTTCGAGGATGCTACTCACAGCGGAATCTATGAGTGCTTTGCACGGACAAGTGCTGGTGAAGAATATTCGCGAAAGATGAGGGTCTCCACGAAGGTGGTTTTTCTCTCACGCTTGCTTTCCATTTGCTTTCCCACACTTTGAAATATTCATAAGATCACCAGTGCATAAACAAAACTAGATAGTAGGAAAATATTGCTCCTGTTGCAGTGGCAACAGCAACATCGTTAAAAGTATTTACCTGACCGTTTTGATGATGACGCACAAAAGTTTTCGTGGTAAGCACGTACAATGGCGATACACGTGAATTTAAGACCACTTGGTCTTGGGAGTTTGGTCTGACCATTGTAGATACTGTTGCGAAGTCTTGGTTCTCTCAGTTCTCATTTTTTGTCGTATTTGTTAGCTAAGCGGGTTTTCTAAATTACTGAGCCCATCATAGATTTTTCTAATTCCTTCAAGGCTGGCTAGTTAGCGACAAAGCTACTTGGCACGTCTTCAGCTAAGGAAAAAGTAGTTAAATCCGATCAGAACAACCATCCACTTGCATTTAGTGTGCCTGCGTTTATGTGGAATGCATCCTGCATGCTGATTCAATCAGGATCTTACAACCAATAAGGCTCATAGATGTATATGACGTAATTAGGAGCTTTTCCAAAGATTAGCTTGTCTTGGAAAATCCTATATCATGACTGCAACGAATGGAAGCTTTAACGACGTCCGTTCGGGCTTTTCTACTGCCTACGAAGAAATATGTGATTGGGTGACTGGACACCGGTAGGTTTTCGAACTGCTCATGAACAGAGGTCGCCCAAGCTTATAGAAGCCGAGTGCTTTCCTGCGGCGCTCTTCGAACCCATTGCAAGTCGAATAGGAACGTCGCACTTCGTTTGATTGTTACCAACGCTTGCTTATCCATCTTGCTTTTTCTGTGTACCTGTATTTGGACATTACAGCCGCTTAATTTGGCGAGGGATAACAAGATGGAAGCAGAACAAAACTTGTGCTGCGAACCATCTGTCAGCAATTATCTTATTGCCCTTAATCCATCACCGAGTTACTCAGAACACATTGGGATCTGATCACTAATTAATTATGTGGAAAGGCCGTCAACACCACTTAGCACATATTTTTAATATTTGCCACCTGACATTATTTGTCGTCTTCTATTTTGCCTAAACTTTACACAGTGGAATACTTTGCCCTTCTAGTAGTTCTTTCTCAGAAATAACCTCTATAATCTATTACAATTCAGGCAGTTCTTCCCAAAGGCCTCACTCCGTGTGACAATGTCGATGACTTCTGTGGAAGCAATGGACGGTGTGGAATGAAGAATTATGATAAAATTTGTGTGTGAGTTCACTTCAGTAGTTGTACTTGTACTAATCTCTACTAGTTATGGTAAAGTCTAAGATCATTCCTCTCCTCACAAATTATAACAACGAAAATTTGACCATACGATGTGCTTGAACATGTATGTGATATAACATGTAGGCTAAAAATCCTAACAGTGGATTTTCTGAGATAAAAACCTCTCTACTTAACAATCAATACATGAGAAAAATTTTTGGAATGGTTGTCAGGTGCGATCCCGGCTACGTAGGGCAACATTGCGAACATCTGCTCGTAAAGGACTATCTGAGTTAGTTTGGAGCTTTTCCATAAAGTTGCTATATGACCTGACAAATGCTTCGATTTCAGTAACTACTGTGAAAGTTGTGGCTGGTGCCGGTGGAACGCTGAACATCATGTTCATCTTTCTCACTCTTATTTTCGCCTGTTTGTTTTTTAAAGAAAGGTAAGTGGTTCTTTCTTTATCATTACTTTTTCGTGACTTCTTATTGACTCACTGCCTCACATATCCAACTCATAATAATATGGCCATTATCCTTCATTTAAATGGAATATGTGCATCGATTTCCCCTTAAAAGTTCAGATATTTCAAAACCCGTAATTATGACAGTCTTTAGATAAAACTAAACCAGGGTCACAGTTTTGTAAACCATTTTAAGATGGCACTTATAAGCTGTTGTCAACGTCCATGACACTAAAAATTCACTCAAACGATACAGATTTTTAAATCGGATAAGTTTTCTGGACGATTGCGATACCTTTCGTATAGAACTATTCGGATATTTTCAGCAGAAAACAGAATGAGCCGACCCGCTAAAGTTGATGATTGTAGGAAGCGTTTACGCCAGCTTCAGTCCCATTCAGTGCTGCCGGCTGAAGAGCCAATATTCGTGACAAAGCCTCGAAACCCCTACGACGACAGCGACGTGCAGCAGGAAAAGGCGTGCCTGGCGACTCCATGCATCCCCGATCGGCCGCTGTCACGCTCAACCCGGCTTTCCACTCTGCGCAAATTCCGCAACGCCATCAGGGTGAGCAATTCTGCATTCCTTAACAACATTTCCACCAATTTCATTGGATCATCTACAAAGTAACATACTTAAAGAAACAAAGACGAAAGAAACATGATCGCTCTTTTAGCAGTGAATTTTGAACAGCGCGGAGAAAGTATTAGCGACAATTTTTGCTTTCAAGTGCGAAATTAGCCCACGGACCGGATTTCAGATTTGGATTCTGTACTTCTGCTCCGTTTAGTGTACCCACTATCCCCATTTCTTTCTTAGTTGAATAACTCATCTTCACGAAAAATGATGCTTGATCCAGCACATTTCAACAGACTTTCCATTTAGGTGGTACGTTATTGGCACGGTAATTGGTAATTTATTTTTGCTACAGTTCCGAGAAATCCATGCCACGGCTAAGATCTCCACCAGAACCAGTTGCTTGCACAGGCATATCGGAGACTTCACTATCTTTCGAGTGGATCTATTTTGCAACGTCGGCAACATCTAAATACTGTAGTTAAGCTTACGAATGGAGAAGTTGAAGTACCTTCTACTTCTTTTAGTGCCATCATTAATAAATACATGATTCGCTTCGAAAACGTAAAGGTTTTACGAAGTATGAAACAACCACAATAATGCTGAGATATTTGCAAAACTCCGGACCACAGCTGTCTACGGTGGGGAACGACCGCGCTATTGTTCTTTCCCTGGGCTAACGCATTCACCATCACACCATGCGGGTGTTTCGTTTCGCCTGTTTTTCAGGCTAGTTCTTTCTACGGAGTAGTTAATAAAAAGTCGAGTAATGTATGACCGTAAAGCAAACTGTTAATTTTATCTCGTAATTAAGTGATACTACATCTTTCTATTCCATTACTAAGTATATCGTATACAAGACTATACATTTCCAGGAGCGGCTACCTTCGACGAACACCATTTCGGAGACGTAGCGTTCCTGAGTGATCACTTCGCATAATGTTCTCATGGTCTTCACTACGGTCTGCACTTATTCTATACCTACACCGTATTTATTAATGAGCATCAAAATAAAAGTCAAGTTTCGTTTGTGAATGTTGTGTCCGCCTATTTTCAGAACAAAAATGAAACAGAAACGAGCGAAGCCATTAGAATTGTAGGGTAAGGAATCTTCACATGATTGATTTTATCAAACTAACCCATACTGTGAAACCACCTCTCAGCATTAGCAGGATTAAAGCCATCGATTACCAAGTGTTAAACTGACCTCATTATTTTCTAAATTTTTAGGCTTCCTACCTCTCCACCAAGGAAGCAAGATATCAAAACTATTTCTATAGCAACTTTTTACACGTTATGGAAAAATGGAAAAAAAGGGGAAACGATTAGAAGAAACAAGAGCTTAATCACTACGGGAAACGCTTCAAAGCAGTTCATAGCACTCCTACTTGGTAGTCATCAGATCTTACTTGGTACTTGATAATTGAATGGCCCGTCACATTGGTTGTGCTAGTCCCAGCATAACCTCTAATTTTCGGAGATTCGCTGGTTTAGCCATTGTCCTGGAGTTTTGAGGTCAGCCAGACCAAAGTCTGCCCCAAGTCTTCACCACCACAGGCAGTCGCAACCCTTGTGGTTCAGAGGGAGATTTGCCACCATACGACTTTGATACCAGGACGGTGGTGGATTCCGGTAGTGGCTTACCCTTAGCTAGGCTACCTGATGCAAACGTCGGACTCCTCAACCTGGGAGACGCTGCCAGGGGATGAATCCTCCACTGTACATCGCAGTCCGACACCCAAATATCTCCCAGCCACGATGAGGCGGTAAACCGTTGGGAGGTCGTCAGATCTGCTGCAAAAATAAAGAAAAAGAAAGCATGTAAAAAGTCTTTTTAACCATTTCTGTATCCACTTGTTAAACAAGTGCCGATGTTTTCTTCCTTTTTCTACAAAGGTGTCAAAAGGCAGTGACCACTAAGCTACTTTTCCACTATAGTGAAGTAACTGAGTAGGCGCTAGCATTTTCAAACTGGCCTTCATTTACTCTCGACACTAAAGACTAATACTTCCTTGTTGGGTAAGTACCCGTAAAAAGATTTACGGTTTGAAATCTGCCATGTTTCGTGCGCATCATAAGAAAAAGTATGCACTGGACTAATATACCGGCTAGTTAACTTCTCGATCTCCTTAAAAACCAGCCTTTGAGTCTACTAGTGGCTTCACAATACGAATACCAGTTTTCGTCTTAATTACATTTTCATTATGCTGCCTATTCAGCAGTAGTGTTCAGGAGGCAAATCTTCAACTGATGATAAGCTTACACGAATTACCGAAAAATCTCTAACATAGCCTTAGTGCACTGATTAAAGGTGCGCTTCAATACACACTGGATCAGTCTCATGGGTCGATCCCACTCTTCGGGCTCACCAGCCTTCGATCATTTCGGGTCCAGTGAATTGGTACCACACTTCTCTATGAGGACAGTACCACTGATTCGATACAGCGGCAGGCCAGCTCAGGTCATTGTATTAGCCAAACAGACATTCATTCACCTCTTGTGATACTTAACGACGTGAAATGGATGGCGCATGCCTCAGGACCGTTGAGCAACGGCGGGAGCTTTATCTTTCATCCTTTTATTATTGCCGACATTTCGTTGACACTTATCCTCAGCGATGCTGTGAAACGTGTGGTTTTACACCCCATTCGGCATGTATCATCGCAGCCTCGAAGAAGGTTGTGTGATCGAAGCACTTGCCACAATCAAGATTTGATACCAATCTTGTGTTCTCCATGTCGTAACATTGAAGATAAATTTAAAGCCCGGCAGCCTTTCCATTGCAAAAATTACTCATGAAAAAATATGACGGTCAGATGAACGCTGGCAAGTTTAAGAAAACTTAGGTAAACTTGTACTTTGAACTTGTACTTGTACATTCACCATAATATTCTGGACGGCGTCACTATATCCTTGTTCACCGCGCATGTTCGAGTGACCAGCATCACGAATGGATGAGTGAAAATTATTGTTATTTATTCATTAGGGCATCATCGCACTCCTCACCTTCTAGACATCACCATTTGTCGTCTCCTCAACTTTGCTGAATGACCTGGTTGAGAAATCGTTTAATACACTTCCTGCAGATACCGATCAATTATACCTCTGAGCGATGTTGCAGCCAACGAGACACTGACATGCAAATTATCGTTATATAATGTCTTCTTTGATTCAACAAACCACCCGTAAGAGTCAATATAATTGATCCAGCTAAAATGCCATTATTAGCACAACCATTTTATAACAGATATCTTTCGCCTTGTTCCTTTGTTGACTAAGAATTTACAAAACGAGAAATTCGAGCCCACACGGAACAGTTACAGCGCCCAGAAAGGCAATGGAGAAAACCATTCACGAATACTACTCGGAGCTCTTCAATAGCCACGTCCACCTTCCATCATATGAAATAAGGGAGGTTGGATATGTTGCACCACCGGTTCTCACTTCCAAAATCCGACATGCCACTTCGTCGGTCAAAAATCGAACAGGTCCGGGCAGGATAGGACCAGAACACCTGAAGGACCGTCCGCCAGTCTTCGTGAACAGGCTGGCTCGGCTCTTTACACGTACCCCCATAATCCTATCAAAACTCAACTGAATTATTTACATAAGTAAACAACTTGATATTCAATTTATAAACCTTCCGGGATAGAACGCAAATTGATGTGAGCTTTTCTCTTCTGCACAATTTGAACAGCTTAGCTACATTCTTGTACGCGATAAATGTTGGAGGAAATTTCAACTCCCATGTGACTTTCACCCTATTCAACATGACGGCGTAACTGATAGAGACGCTCCTAATGGGTTTACTGTAGAACATCTTGAAACTTTCAACGAGGTGCTCCACAAGTGGTCTGATTTGATAGAATTTGTCTTGTCCATCGAAGTTTGCATCACTGACTAAATAGAAGAAAGTGGACATTGTTCAAATATGTACTGTGACTACAGAACACCTCCAATAGGACCTTTTCCATATTGCCTCACTGCCACTTCAGTAATCCAGTAGGAGAGTACAGACCAATATTCTCATTTCCACAGCCGTTGATTCCCAAAACTAGTTCTTCTGTTGACCGCATCTGCCGGTCTTCACTACGACCGAGTTCCAAATATCTTTTATAACTAGTTTTTAAAAAACGTACCAGTTCTGTACACGCAAGCAGAAGTTGTCCATCAAAACGAACAAGACTATCACTGAAGTCATATGGGTTATGAATTAGCACACTGCTTGATGGCCACTTTCGTTCCCATCCTCCGATCTACTTTCTTCACACTTCTCCCAACCTACTAAGTGTCTTCATTGTCTTCATTTTAGATGAGGAGTCTGTCAGTGCGGAACCTCAATGCGTCAAACGGCAACGCAATTCAAGGACACCTAATTTTGATTTTGTCTCCCACTGGAACTTTCGCTTTGCAGTAGTTATACTGAATCCTGCCTGCATGGATATAGAGAATGGATGACCTACCGAAATAGACACCATGATTTTTGAGAAAGCTACAACTAAAAAACAATAACGATGTGGTTGGATAGTGAACACGTTTTTTCCTTCACATTCAAGAGCTGGAAATCTTGGAGAAATCCGTTACAACAGATTTAGAGGAAACAGAGGATATAAAGAACAGAGGGAAACTGGAAAGGTATGAGTTGATTTCTGTTCAAGCCGCGCATGGCAAGAAATCAGGCGATGTCGTGCATGTGAGAACAGCAACCGTTAAGAATGTCCTTCACCACCTGAGATGCGCGAATTATCAAGAACAGAAAACGGAGACCATCATCACGATAGTTAGACTGCTTCTGAAACCAGTGAATAATATGGGCGGTATTCACGTAACACTTTTCTGTATCTGGAAAACACTTTCTGCGTTTTTCGTATCCTACAGAATTCTGTAGGGTGCGCGTGGCGCAGTGGTCGGAGGCGCCATACAATGCACATGGGATCGATCCCTGCGCCCCAGGCCCACCAAGCCCTTCATCATTCCAGTGTTAGCAAACT